ATTCCAGCTTTCTTGTTTTGATGTGCCTTATGACCTCGCAATCTTTTTGTAGCCCTCTTAACACTTCTGCATTTGTAACTCGTTGGGTCCATGGTGTTTTCAAAATCCTTCTATAACACCACAACTCAAATAATTTCAACTTCTTTATATTATCCACTTTTAGTGTCAAGCTTTCCATTCCATACAACAATGTCGAGAACCGGTAGCATCTTAAGGCTCTTATCCTCAGTACCAGAGAAAGGTCTCGATTAAAAAACATTATTTTCATTTTTATAAATGCTTGTCTTGCAATTTCAATGCATGTCCTTATTTCTCTACCTTGGTCATTGTTTTCATTTACCCAGGTTCCCAGATATTTCTAGTTATTCACTCTTTCTACTTGTTTTCCCTCGATATTTAGCCTTCCTACTGTATGTTGCTTAGAAATAAACATGCACTTGCTTTTCTTAACGTTCATTTGTAGTCCATATTTTATACTGACTTGATGTAATCTATTTAATAAGCGTTGGAATTCTTCAAGACTGTCGGCAAAAATAGCGGTGTCGTCTGCGAATCTTATGTTGTACAAGATTTTTCCGTTTATTGATATACCCTGTTGTTCCTCTGATATTGCTTCCTTAAAAATAGCTTCTCTGTACAGATTGAATATCAATGGGGACAGCACGCAACCCTGTCTAACACCTCTTTTGATTTCTATATTTTCTGTATTGACATTTTCGATTATAACTTTGATTTTTGATTCCAGTGCAGATTGACAATAACCCATATATCTCGACTATCCACATTCTTTTCTTTTAACAGTTTTATGAGTTTCTGATGTCGGACTCTATCAAAAGCCTTTTGATAATCTATGAAGCAGACATAGAGATCCTGGTTCATATCTAGTCGTCTTTGCGCGAGAAGGTTAAAAGTGAACAGAGCCTCTCTCGTTCCTAGTCCTCTTCTGAATCCAAACTGGGTGTCATATATATCTTCTATTTTTTTTTGTATAGTCTTCCATGTTGAAATTGTTCTGTACTGGGAGCATTCTGTCGCATTTACTGACTTTGGTAGTGTTACAAATGTGGACAGCAACCAATCTTAACTACTCCTGTTGTATATACTATGTTGAACAGATCTAAAAGTATATGCAGTGTTCCTTGGTCAATGTATTTAATTAGCACTGTGGGTATCTGATCTGGGCCTACTGATTTTGCGGTTTATATGCGACCTCTATATGAGGAAACATGAAGTCAAAGATTTCTCATCGATGCCGATTTAAGTAACTGTAACCTTATTAGAAAGGTAACGGACGATGCTAGGAATATCTTTATTTCAACAAAACTTGAGGTTAACCCCCTTATATATTTCATAATACTACTAGATTTGAATTCCAAGGCCCTACTCTCCTACATATTTATCGTAGTTCCATTTTCCAACATTTACATAGCGATTGAAACAAAAGCTGATCCAAAGAAAAACAAGCCCCAATAACAGCTGAAATTAAATTGTTAGAGAACAAAAATGAAATACAACTATAGGTAACATGAGACACCAGAGCTGGTGAGATAGTAGATCATCGTAATCGTAAATATTATTAAAATAACCATTAAACACACACAGAAGGGTCATTCGATGATAATGACCAAGTGCGTAGGCTTAAACGTTTTAAACCAAATGACTTATCCAATTTATTTTTTAAGCAAAATCAATTGTATTTTAAATGTTTACCGTAATTACTTTTTAATCGCGAGTGTATTTTATTATTTTTATGTATAATACTTCTTTGTGCTATTTCAAACTATCAGTAATAAGTTAATAACTTGTTGTTGTTAACTAGTGTCTAAATAAAAAAGGCGCATTTTACTGTGAGAGACCTTTTACACTCTATGTAAACAAATTACTTAGTACCCTTTGTTTTTTTTTTAATTTAATTGTTACTGGAATTAATATAAGAAAAAAGGAACTTGATTAGACAGGCCATTCACGTTCCGACTTGTGGTCCCACTTAGTAGGACTACTAGTTGGATGTTCGTCTCCACTCACGCTCCGACTTCCTATCCAACTAGCGGTCCAACTTCAGTTCTAGGTTGTTTTCACGATGGTGTACATCGCTTAACCAAAAAATGTTTCGAATAAACACTACGCAAAATATAATTAGGAGGAGGAAAATGGCAGCATTGTGCTTGTTATCCTTATATGTATGTTATGATATGTATGTTTAAAAATTAGGTTTCGTTTCTCTAGTTATTTGTCTAGGGCTGAACTAATTAATTTTTTCAACCCTTGATTTTTATGACTTTTTAAGATGTAGGAAAAAATTATAGTTTTTAAAGATTTGTGTAGGTATAAAATCTATATTTTATTTGTTTTAAACTGGAGCTGGGATTTATTTTGTTGTGTGTGTGTCGTATATTTTTAATAGGAATAATTTTTCGTGCAATTGAAAGTTATTTTCTATTATTTTTTTGCGAACTAGGGATCTTTTGCTACAACTATGATTTAATTTTCATTGTTTGTTGATAATTCTTCCGTAGCCAATCCGGAGTATCGGAAATTTACCTGTATAGGAATGTCCGAAATAGATCTACAGAAAGGAAAATGATTTGCCCTAACAAAAAGGTAATTTTCGTGCAATTGAAAGTTTATTTTCTATTAAATATTCGCGAACTAGAGATCTTTGCGTAAAGTATTTCATAGAAATCTCATACGTAACAGGTGCCGAAAGGTCAACTGACTGAGGAAATTTTCGATCCAACCTGTGATCCGACTTCCAACTTCACCATTCACGCTCCGACTTCGTCGCCAGTCGGAAGTCGGATCTTCAAGTCGTCCCACTAGATGTTCCGAGTCGTACCACTAGTTGTCCAACTAATCCAACTAGCCCACTCACGGTCCGATTTCAGATCCAACTGCAGAAGTTGGACCACTAGTCGTACCACAAGTCGGAACGTGAATGGCCTGCATTAGACATGTTTGTTTTATGCAGGAAAAACAGTTGTGAGTTTTTTGACAACATCAATAAGCAGAATACCGTTTGGTAATACAATTCCTCGTTTTGGATGGTTTATGTTCTATGTAAATTTATCCAAAATGGCTGAAAGTATATTAAGGATCTATTTATTCATTATCAGCAGCAAAGGTTAACAAATAAGTCTTGTTGAGTTGAGTTTATCTAAACTGTTGATACCTGCTCAGTCGAGACACCAATATTACATTGTAATTCATCTGACAGAACATGCATTAAACCACCAAATGCATATACCATTAAATTTAGTAAGTAAAGTATTTCTATCAATGCTTCAAATGCTCCCTTTAAGTCAAGTTCAGCAAATACTGGATGCATTGTAATGTAGAAAATGTTCCCCGGATATTGTTTCCTTCTAGATACCAAGCTTTTATTTACACCAACTAATATAGTACAATCCAGTAAGTACTTGTATTAAATTCTTATTCTTTTTTTGCATCTCTTCCACATCAAAATGAATCGACATGGACCAAAATACTTTGGTTGATAGTATCCACTATTATGTCGAGAATATTATCAGAGATTATTTACTTGCAACACTGGTATTACGCCAACAATCATATGCCTATTATTGCTTCTTAGATGGTTGCATTGTCAGGACTACGTATACTATAACTATATTTCGAACCTATATCCTGATGTTTTTGGGAGGTTCATTCATTTTCCATATAAGTTCTCAATCCTTGCCAAAAAATAAGGTAAGACTGGTAACTTCATTTTGATCAAATATGACCTCTTCTGTGGGAACACCATTCAGATTTTCGTTTCCTTCAACTTCACTCTCTTGCAGTTTATCATCAATATGTTAAAATGGCTCTTAATTCAAAACTTTTTCCATAAACCCTTACAGACAAGCTCGTTCTTGTTCATGAGAATACATTTCTAGAGAAAAACCAAAGATGAGTATTGCAAAACATAAAAAAAAACATATTTTAACAGCTGTATCGACCAGCAACTCAGATCATAAGATGTATCGTGTGGGTAATCGCACTATATATAAGAGACCAAACTTCAAATAGCTTTGTCTGCGCGATCAGTACTAACGAATCGTGCTAAGTACGTTTAGGGAAAATGCTCATCAGAAGGTACTGGAAGTATCCGACATTTAACTTATCTAACATGTAGGCATATATTACAACAATCTGTCAGATAAGATACTAGAAGATCAATGTGGTCGTACATCAGTTGAAGTTGAAAACGTCGAGATAATCGTAAATGGTCGATGATTAAAAGTGTTATTATGTATGATAAAGCTTTGTTCAATCTGTTTCTATATCAAACCAAACTTTCTCTGCATACCAAATAGTTATGGCAAAATTTGGTTTTGTATTATTTTTTATTGGCATAAACATTAGCCATTCAGCCAGTTTAAGCAGACTCCTTAATCAGCTTAATGCACAATGCTATCCCTAATCCGGTATTAACTGATAATTAATAGAAAAAAGGTAGTGTTACATTTAGGATAAATAAAGGAAGTACACGCTACCAAACCATTAAAAAGTAATAAAGCAGCAGGACCTGATAATATGTTTACAGAAACAATGAAGAAAATCTAGACATCATTGTGAAGCTCTTTAACGACATCTACGATACGAGCTGGATTTAAAGATTGTTCTTCGCTCTACATTTATCTAAGAGTGTTCTAGGACGTAAAAAAGATATGATATACTCTCTAAGTGGAAAGGAATCCACAGTTATGAAATGCTTCACAATGCTGCGAAAAATAAAATAATTAATCATAGATATTTAACATCTCTCTTGACAAGGCATTGTACGGTGAACGCCTACGCAGAAATTCACGGCACCTTAAGAAGAAGAAGAAAGGAAGCATAGCTGAACATTGACACAATAGTCGATAAATTAGTAATGTAGCAATGAGCAAATACAAAAATAATTAAAAGATCGCGAATTCAATCAAAATCGATTGAGGTCCTGAAAGTTTTTGAAGAAATAATTTTATTATATTGGAAGTAATGATTTGTTTTTATTTTAGTGAACAGGAGCCTCCAAGTTCTATGCTTCTCGTGCATAATATAGCAGATAATGAAGAGGGTTGGATTCAAGTTGTAAATTCAATGATTAATGTGATACCGATGCATGACCCCTTAGGTCCTTCTGTCATCACATTATTGTTGGACGACTGCCCATTGCCGTCAAAGGAATCAGTATTTAAGGTAATGTATTCATAAAATACGTGTTTTGTATTTAAGATTTAATTTAAATTTTAAAAGAATAATCTATTCTACGAATTTTTGACCTTTTTTGAAAAACTCATTTTTTCTCTATGCTCAACGCTGATCAGTTGCTTTAATTTTCCTATGTTCTCTCTTAAACGACCACTCCTCTTCAGCGGCCAGATTTTGATTCACCGAAGGTGGTAGCTATTGCAAGATTTTACTGTAATTTCGTTTATAGTGTATTTTTATGTATGAGAGAGTAATAAAACAATAAATTATGTATGCAAATCCCTAAACTGTTGATACGGGTGGACTCAATGAAAAACAGATATTTGTCAACAAGTTTACAGAAGTATATAGGAAAACAATTTTAAATTGAGTATGACCACCAAGTATAAAGGTTGGAGCAGAATAGAATACAATAGTTGTGAGGGTTACTAATCCCTAAATAAGGTTGCCAGTGTCGGAGTGATGGAGGTTAACAGGTACTAATGAATTTGCAAGAAATGTAAGATGTTTATTTTATTGGTTATATATAACCAATAAAAGTTTAATAAGTACCTACCTATTTGCAAAATAAAGTTTAATTCTTTAGATAAAATAAAACGTTTTATTTTATCTGAAATGAGTGCATTCCACGAAGTAAGGGTTTCAACAATCAAACATTTAATTCTTTAATTCCAGGAATCTACGACAGTAATTGACTAGATTAATTACCTTCTAAACTTATTCCACAGAAAATGTGATAGTGGGTTTTTCCATTTTGTAGGAAGGTCCAAGTGGCGTATTCAAAATTCTTAACAGTTCACTAAAAGTAGGTACTTCAGTTGCAAGGTGCAGTTTAGTGTGTATACTAGTTTTATGGAAAATTTGGAAGTGCCGTGTAAACGCCGAAAAATTGGTCCTTCCCTAAACAGTTAATGAAAAAACATTACTATTTAATTGTTTTAAATCATTTACAGACAAACGTTTATGTGAAAGTGTTGATGAGACCGTTGAGTTAGTTAGCAGTACACTTGGTGTTGGGAAATCTACGATTTACAGAGTTATTAAAGAAGAGAAATTGTGGTAGTTTTCAAATGCCACGTAATGCTCCAGGGAAACCAAAATTTCAAATAGAATATCATTTAAAGAAGGACATTCTTCTTTAGACAAGAATTTCCAACATTGGATAAAGTTCTTGTCTCAGTTCGAGATGATAAGGATTACCAGAAATAAGTCGAAGTACGTTATGGAAACTTTTAAAAGAAATAGGCTTCCGCTGGAAAAAGAATCCCAGAAAGTCTATTTTATTAGAAAGAAGCGATATTGTCATATGGAGAAGACATTTTCTAAGAACCATAAAGGAAATGAGAAACCAAAAAAGAAAAATATTTTATCTTTATGAAACATGGATCAACGAGGGTCATACACCAAATAAATTTTGGCAGGATGAAACTGTTACAAGTCAAAGGCACGCTTTTGTAAATAACTTATCTACTGGTTTAAACCCACCATCAGGAAAGGGACGCAGGCTGATAATAGTACGCATTGGCAGTTCAGACGGTTTTGTTGAAGGTGGTTTATTAACTTTTGAATCAACTCGTACCGGTGACTACCATGAAGACATGAACGCTGATGTCTTTCAAGAATGGTTCGAACAAATGATAGATCTTTTTCCTAAGAACTGTGTAATAGTAATGGATAATGCAAGTTATCACTCCATACTTATAGAAGGACTGCCCACAACCAAGTGGTTAAAAAAAGACTTGCAGAATTGGCTGAGTTCAAAAAATATTACGTAACATCCCGGATCTATAAGAAGGAACTTTATTCGTTGTGTGCCCTTCATAAAGAAAAATTTAAAAAATACGAAATTGATGAAATTGCCAAAATCGTGGAATGACAGTACTTAGATCTCCACCATATCATTGTGAATTAAACCCGATTGAACTGGTATGGGCATAGATAAAGAGTGAAGTTTCAAGAAAAAATACCACTTTTAAAATTCATGATGTTAAACAGTTGTTTTTGGAGGCCGTAAATAATGTAAAACCTGAAAACTGGGGAAAAGGCAGTAAATCACACTATTAAAGAACAGGAAAAAAATGTGGAAGCTGGACAATATTACTGATAAAATGATCGAGCCAGTTATTATAAATCTTGGTTCTGAAAGTTCATCTTCTGAATCTGATTTGGATTTGTAACAAGTAGCTGTAAGTTTTATATTAATATTTTTATTCATCTATTTAACATACCTTAGACGGTTTTAAAAAACTCTTTTTCTCTTTTGTAATTTTTAAAAATTAAAAAAAATGTGAATTTTTTAAAACCCTTTTTAATATAGGCCAGTCAGTTCTAATATAGTGTGTGATAAAAGAGGTCACTTTTGTTTACATACACATAACACTTTATAACACTGAAATAATTCATTTATTTTTTACAATTATTCAAAGTAATTTTTCAATAATCTTGAGCACGCCCATGGAGTGGTCGGAGGATACCAGTTAAAATTATGCTAATTACTCTCTCGTTCATAAAAATAAACTATAAAAAATGATGGGACAATATAATTTTTCTTTATAAATTCATAATGTATTTCGTATATCTCAATATTTTTATGTTTATATGTAGTAGAATAATTTTGTTATTGCAGGTGGTAAACATGCTAAATTTATCCGAAAAGGCAGCGATAGAGGGTAGGGCGGATGCTCCAAAACAAAGGAATATTTGCGTCGTGTTAGGTTGCATCGCAGAAAAGTTAGCAGGTCCTAGAAATATGGAAATATTAACCGATAGTATTATAGATTACTTATTAACAAATTTGGTAAGTATCAATGTGATCAGTGTGGTTTTTGTGTACACTCTCGAAATATTTACGATGTACTCTTTTCAGGAACCTGTTACACACCCCAGCGTTATATTATTTTCCTTGATAGCATTAGAAAAATTTGCCCAAACTAGTAGCAACAAAATAATAATCTTGAAAAAAATCGCTAAACTGCCCAAATGTCCCATAAGTTTGCTTGAACCCTGGAAAGAAGAAACACATACTAAACACCCCAGGCGTCCGTATGTTTGGTTGAACCCTGGAAAGAAGAAACACATTATGTGAAGAGGCAGGTTGGTTTTTGCGCACAGTGGATACTCGACAACTTGTGTAAGTAGAAAAATAATAATGTTAATTACGACAGTTTTAAATTCTTTTTATTAACTATATTTTCTCTCACTTGAATTCCCTATTTTATTTATTTTGTTTTTACAAACTCTTACTGAAAAAGATCGTGCTGTAATATCTATTCTGGGAGACGACTATATAACACAATTCATCATCTACTCGAATGAATACCTATACAGTGCTAGTCAAAAGTTCTTTCCCCCGCCCTCGTATCTTTTGAACGGTTATTGTTATAAAAGTGAAATTTGGAGGGAGGTAATAAACAGACGTTGGCTTCTTAACTACAGTTGGACAATTTTCAATTAAAGGTGACTAATCTACAAATTGAACTAAACGTTAGCGGCAACCATGTAAAATTTCAGCAGTAAATTCTTACCGGGGTCATTTTTATTGTGTATGCTTCACCCATGTAAATAAGTGAAAAGTAAGATAAATTTGCCTCCGTAACAATAAAAATTGATGCGATTCAGGGGTGTATAGTGAGACAAGTTCATTGAATAGTTTGAAACATCGGTAAACTTATCAATATTTTGCCGGTCTATATAATATTATATATATATATATATATATATATATATATTAAATTTACGTTCTTAGAAAGAATGTTAATGATAGAAATATGATATTTTAGTTTATTCCTTCCGATTATATATGTGCATAGGCGTAGTGTGTTCTTGGGAATATATTTATTAAATAGACTTTATTATTAACTTTAAAATAGTTTTGAGGGAAGTAAGGTAAATTTGAGAACCGTTTTTGAGGTAAAGTTAATTGTCAAATTTACCTAAATTTGACAATTAACTTATTAGATTGGATTAAAAACACATAAATTAAGATTAATTTATATCCAAAAAGATTTTTTTTTTTTTCAAGGAAAGCAATACAATTTTTAATAAAGGAACATATTGTATCTTAAATGTAAATTAAATTTTAAGGTGAAAATTTTCGAAACATTCGGGGTGTAGATGCATTCCACACTTTTTACATAAATAAATAGTACTACTTTTGCACATCCTACATTTTGCACTAACGTCTCTTTTTGGTAATGTGGCCAATATTGTCGAATCTGGTTTCATCTGATAAAGTAAATTTAGATCGACGTCCATGTACTAAGTGACACTGACGTAGCGGTTTCTTTACTATTATAAATTATAATATAAATTTATGTCGGCTCATGCTTTCTCTTATAATATGCACTTCTTTATCCTCATCCTTTGACCAACGCATATCAACTTGAAGCAGAGTGTAAACCAGAGAATATACATACTACTAATAATTTCTTTAAATCTATGCTTTTCATTTCAAAATCGTGACGGTTATTCTGGGATGCATAAATATTTGTAAAATATAGAATGCTCTCAATTACTTTTTTATCAAAAAAGAGTGAAAAAACTTTATATGACTTGCCTACATGGTTGGCTGTTATATTGTCTAAATATCAATCAGACTGATGTTGAATTACTACTGAGCACGAATGAATATCTGTTGTTACAACTTGAGACAAATTTGGATTTATTATTTTTGTCTGGATTTTTCTTTGGACGTTTTATCTGTGGTTCAGAGGAATTATCATAATCAGAATCGTCAGAATTCCCTAATCACTGGTATTTCATATATTACCTGCAATATCCGATTTTATTGATTCTTCACAAATAATATTATCATCAATGTCTTCTACATCAGAAACTTTCTAATCTAATCTCGACGGTAAATAAACCACATGAAGTGAGTCAGCATTTTCACAATCTGAGTCTTCTTTTAACAAAGCTATTAACTCTTTAGTATTAGTGCCATCTTCATTTCATATTTCGAGAATTTACTGAAATAAACAAATGCACTACTATATAAACGCATTCACATGATAATAGTTTAGCTTACTTCATTTTAAGTTATATGAACTTCATAATATATTTTTATATTTATATAAACAAATAAACACAAGGAAACTTTCAAATTAAGTTAAAAAAACAAATATAACGTTTACAGCACACAGCAATTCTATAAATATACCGACGAAATAAACAGAAGTCACCACGTGATATTCAAATCTGAACGTGATTATTATAAAATATTCATTTTCATCATTAATATCTTATAAGATAGTTCGATAACTTGTGGCCAATGATAAGACATTGATCATATTCAGACTGGAATATCATGCGGTGACTTCTGTTTATTTCATCGGTAACTTGAGAATGAATTTAGTAGAGGTAACGTCTTACTGCACCATCATGATGTGCAGGACCACCATCTTGTCGAAACATTATTTCCAAGTTGCCGAATTCATCTGGATTATCCCCAGAATTCCAAGTATTAACGGTTCAATTGCATTTTGTAAACATATACAGATACACTTCACCGGTTAAGTTAGTATTGGGAAAAACCTGCCCAACTATGTGGTTTCCCAAAATACCTGCAGAAACATTAATTTTTTTTTGGAAATTGAATTGAGTAAGGATTTGTGTCACTCCGATACCTCACATTGTATGTATTAACATTTCTATGGAGAGAAAAAATATTTTCGTCACTATACATAAATTGTTTTTATGTACTCGGTCTGTTAGTTAATTTTATTGGACATATTTTCACAGAATTGTAGTCTTTGGTCGGGGTCATCATCTGAAAATTGGTGCACAATTTTTAATTTGTATGGATGAACTTTGTTTCTAGCCAACACTTGGTGTATGGTCTTTTTACTGATTCCATAGATAGATGCAACTTGGGCTATAGAAGAAGTAGGGTTCACTACCATTTCTGAAATTATGTTAATTTTTTTGTCATCACTAATTATTGTTGATCGACCAGATCGTTTGACAATTTAACACTACCTGTCTTTAAACTTCCGAAGAAGCTTCCTCAAATAAGCTCTCGATGTAGGGCAATCGGGGTACCTCTCATTAAAAAGACGTTCAGCTGCATGGAAATTATTTCCACATTCACCAATTATTAACACAGCTGCTTTTTGTCGGTAATAGTACGGACCATTCTGCCTTTTTAAAAATTTAAACTTCTTATTAAACAATAATTAAACTAAATATTAAATAAAACTTTTTTGACAAATAACCAAAGGCGGAAGTTAGAATTTTTATTAATTAAATGCCAAACTAGAATTTTAGTATGTATTTAATTTATTCGTCAATATTAAATCCAAACAAAATTAGTATTATTGAACAGTTATATAGGAAAACGTTAATTGCTTCTGGTTAATTGTCAAAAAAACTTGATGTTGACGTAAAAACAATTAGAGAATTGAAAAACGTCAACTTTTTGACAAGTAACCAGAGGCGGAGGTTTTTAATGTTTATTAATTATATTTATAAAATGGAGCTTAAACTCAAATAAAATTAGTATAGTTGAATAGGTATTTTCGATATCTTTCAAACGAGACATCACTTGCCATAAAGTCCTATTTAAAATTAGTTGTCACAGTGGCGCTGTAACGTCATCTGTCACTATAACGTCACTTGCTATGACTAGTTAAAAAGCCTACGTCTGTTTATTACCTCCCTCCAAATTTCACTATTAGAAGTATAACCGTTCAAAAAATACGAGGGAAGGAACGGACTTGACTAGCATTGTATAGTAGGCAGGGTTCTTTCTCAATTCAAACGGTACTGACCAAGTCCTAATACTCGCAACTTATATGAAAGCTGAGTTTCAAAGAAGGCAAAAACCTTTGTCGTCTTTATAGATTTATCAGCGGCCTATAATACTTTGTAAAGACAAGGTCTTACTTATAAGCTTCTGCCGTAAGGACTATCTCTCTCTTATAGATAACATGCTTTTGAACAGGACGTTTCAACTTATTATGAAAAATTCCAAAAGTGCACTGAAGATATTGAGTAATGGACTTCTTCATGACACTGTCTTAGCACCGATTTTGTTGAGCCATTTTTGATAAGCTCAACATGGAATATAAGTGTTCGGATACATAGACGACTGGACAATAGACGCCCAACAACAAAACTTACCCTAAAACTAAGAAACCTTTAACTACCCCTAACAGCTACTCTTAAAATCCTCGAAAGCCGCTTTCGAAAATGAAGACTGCATACAAATGTAAACAAAAAGCATGCTATTTCTATGTGAATAACAATATGACAGGAAAATAATTAATATGACCGTCGAGAACCAACGCTTTACCTACAACAGATTTCCGAAGTATCGTTCTGTCACATTAGACAGAACGTTGACATTGAACGAACATCTAACAAAACTTGCTACGAAAATTGGAAACTGAAACAATATCCTCCATAAGTTATGTGGCTCGGAAATCTTCAGTCAAGACTCTATTAAGAAAGCTACGCTTTCAATAAATTTGATTTCTCTCTGTGACAATATAACCTACTTGCTCGATTTTGCTCGAAAAATCAGCATTCTCTTGTTGGTATTCGATAATCCATTCAACGAACTCTCTTCGCTGTGCACGGTCATTAAAATTCAGTTCTTGTCTCAATTGAACGTTTTATGCATGGAGATGCAGATCTTTAGTGAGTATACGCTGTAGAGAGCTTCTTTAAATTTGCAATTCTTCTTCATGAAGCCAAATTCGCATTCCTGGACTTTCACCAACACTCTAACTTACTGCATCGATATTGACATTAAATCAAATTTTGACCGACGATCAGTGTGTTTAACATCACCAATCGATCCAGTCTCCCTGGATTTTTGTATTGCTCTCACAGCTGACAAAGTTAAATCAATATTCCAACCATATTCTGTACAAAATTTTCGAAATATGGCCGCCAAATTTTCATTATTTTTCAAACATGATTCAACAATGAAAATGTGTTAACCTCTCGTGTAACACTCTGTTTTTATTAACTCTAAACTATTAGCTGTCACCCTTTTTTGTGCCACACTTTACTGCACAAATGGCGGCAAGTTCAAATCTCGCGTGCTTTTGAAACACCCATTATAAGTTCTCATAAAAAAAGCTCTATTTATTGATAACATGCCAGCCGAAATTTTCGAAATTTGAGCACACATGTAGATAGATCGACATCATATACTAATGAATTTCTTCCGAGTGAAACACGGAAAAAATTTCAAGAGAGAACTCTTTGTTATACTGGCACTCTGAACTTGGACATACCGCTTTTAGGTTTTGATGGTACGCCACTACGCAAATTACGGAGCAATTCTATAATTACTGTATTTTCTTGAATAAGCGACGATATATGTATATTTTTTTTTTTTCAAATTATTTTCGACCGTATTTTCGTGTGTTAAATATTGATTTATAGTTTCAGCAATTGGTCTGTAGGAAATAAAACTATTTGTTCTGTCGTCAATATTTCGTCAAGATTTTGTGACTTCTTCAGTAAAAAACTGTAAATTTATTATAATAATATATATGTCAACAAAGTGAATATTTCAATACTTGAATACTATAGATTAAAAATTTATATTTTGATAAATAACATATCTACTTAAATGACATTTTTGATTTTAATTTTATTTGGGAGTTATGGTAATCGCAATATATTATAAAGTGAATTAAAAGTAAATTTTATAGAGTAAATATAAATCTATTAAATATATAAATATATATAATATATATATATATATAATAAAAAATATATATATATAAAAATATATATATATATGGATGTAAATACTTTTTTTACTTTTTGGGTGTGGTAGTCATAAAAAATAGAGCTTTGCTAAGGCGTACTATTTATTCTGAAATCCGAGCTTTCGGTGGTTGTTTGCCACCTTTATCAAGGTATCCAATGAAAATTACTGTGTTATAAACTTTGGCTGATGCAATATAAAAGTTATAAAAACTTACCAGAAAGTAAGATTCATAGCATATAAAACACAACGTTAAATAACATAATGTGATCTGAATTACTGAAGGCATTAAAACTGTTAAAAATTTTAAAATAACTTAAAAATTAAAGAACATGTTACAAAGTTTAAAATGTAAAAAATAAGACGACATGTGTGACAAAAAACAGTCGTCTTCGCAGGTTTGAATTTAGTCACATCTCACGAACAGAAAGAGGCAGTAGGAGGAACTATTGTTGTTTAAATAGTTCGATGTAACTACAAAAAACAAACTTTCAAACTGATGTCTAACAAAATACCGTTTGTGATTTTAAGTTAACTAACCAACTTTAAATTGAGAGGGAAATTTAAAAAAAATTCATTATGTTAAACAATAAAAAGAAAATAGTATTAGTAAGTAGGTTTAGAAAAAAACAAACAATCCAAAAACAAAATGAACCATCTAAATAATAACTGAAGTTAATCATGATAATTATAGCAATTAATAAAGGAATTTAAGAAACAAGACAGGAAACACTCTGAGATGCAGAAGACCCTAGTCAAAAGTCAAAATAAAATTGTAAATTTTGCTAAGATTCTGGATCTCAGATCTTTTATTCAGATTGTTGTTATCACTCCTGCTGATATGTACCATTTCTAAGAATGTTCTCTTAAATTTATTTTTCTCTCTGGCTAATATTTTTACATTGTTGAAATCTATCTTATGGTCTAGATCGATAGTATGTTCTGCCAAAGCACAAGTGGGTTTATTTAGTCTACAGTCACTGTTATGAGAAATGATACGACTAGACAGATTTCTTCCAGTTTCACCAATGTACGTGGATGGACATTCAGTACATTGAATGCAATAAACAACATCTCTTGACTCTAAAGTAGTTAGGGGTTGTTTTATTTTGCTATACAGCTGACGTATGGTATGGAGCTTTGATGTTCTTAAATTCTTTAAAAATTTTAGTAAGTTCTACGGTTAGTTTTGGAATATACGGAAGGGCATAAAAATACACACTTGTTTGAGAAGATTGTTTTGTGCTGAGGGCACTGATTGTGAATTAGTGAGAATGTTATTTCTGTTAACAAATAGAACATTAAAAATTAATTTATTAATCAGTCTTAGAGGATATGAATTTTCAACAAAAATATTCCGTAAGAGGTTAAGATCATGTTGGAGATAATCTGGATGTGATAACCTTTTGACACGTTCTTTCATTGCTAGGATTAGGTTGGTTTTCATTCTAGGAGGATGGTGGGAATGGTAGCTTATGAATCTATTTGCTACATATAGGTTTTCTATACCATTGTGTTTTCACAACATTATCCTCACATCTATGCAAACTCATGTCAAGGAAGGGCAAAGATCCTCCCGCTCTTCCTCGTATGTGAATTGCAAGTGTGGGTTTTGTTGGTTGAAAAAATTTAAGGTAAATTGTATAGAGTCTGCTGGTAGTGCCAAACTTAAGTCATCCACGTCATTTAACAGTTTTAATGCCTTCAGTAATTCAGATCACATTATGTTATTTAACGTCTGTGTTTTATTTGCTATGAATCTTACGTTCTGGTAAAGTTTTTATAACTTTTATATTGCATCAGCCAAAGTTTATATACACAGTATATTTTCATTGTAGACCTTAATAAAGGTGGCAAACAACCACCGAAAGCTCGGATTTCAGAATAAATAGTACGCCTTAGCAAAGCTCTATTTGTTTATTGACTACCACACCCCAAAAAGAAAAAATTATTTACATATTTTTCCAAACTAGTATATACATATATATATATATATATATATATATATATATATATATTTATTATATATATATATATATAATATATATATATATATATAAAATGTGTGTGTGTGTGTGTTTGTGCGTGTATATAAATACTGAATATATTAACACTTCTCTTATAGTTGTAATGGAAAACCGACAATATAGTTACCAAACAGTCAATATGGACACCATAAATGCGATGTTGAATACTTCAGACGTTAGTGAATATTTAAAAATTTCTCCAGACGGCTTAGAAGCTCGGTGCGATGCGTACTCTTTCGAAAGCGTTAGATGTACGGCTCAAGCCGATAAAGGAATATGGTACTACGAAGTTTGCATTATTACACCAGGTGTTATGCAGATCGGATGGGCAACGAAAAATAGTAATTTTTTAAATCACGTAAGTTATATACCCATTATATATACACTGCGCGTCACTAAAAAGAGACCACCTATAATTTTATAAGAATTTTTCAATAATTCTGAATTCACCACAGTGTGTTCAATTCACAGCGATTTCGATAACTCGTTATAACTCGAATACCCTGTATAGTAGTGTCAAAACCTAATATTTAAAAACGGAGATTAGGAGAGTAATCTATATATGAGAAAATGTACAGGGTGTCCTATTTAAAAAATTATGTTTGCTTTGCCAAGTACTTATTAATCACACTGTAAAATATATTTTTTTGTATATTCTGTACCATAATAGAATTATCGACCAATATCGCTGTTCGAGTGGGATTCTGTTCGAGTAGAACACTGTTTAAAGAGCGGTGCGCATACGCGCCGAGCGTGACGCAGTTATGAATAGCTGCCAGATTTAATGAAACTACCGGCAACCAACATACAAAAAAAATTTCAATTGTATGTATTTTGTGTAATTTATTTATTGTGTTATTAAATAAATTCAACCAATCCACCTACATTAAAATAAACAGTGTCTACAGTGCACTAAGTAGTTTCCAGCATATTAATATGATCCTTCGATTGATTGATTACTATTTCATATACATTTGTTTTATATAGGAGGGTTATGGTATCGGAGATGATAGATATTCATTAGCATACGACGGCTGTAGAAGATTAATATGGTACAACGCAAAATCTGACCCGCAGAATTTACCAAGTTGGCAACCTGGAGATATATTGGGATGTCTTTTAGACTTAGATAACCAACAGATTATTTTTTCTGTCAATGGAATAGCGTTACCACCAAGTATGCATGTGTTCACAATGGCAAAGTAAGTATTTACCTTATTTACTTATTCGAAATCAATAATTGAATAATTGAGTTAAATTGTTAAAAGAAATATAATAATTATTTAAAATTTATTATTTGTTAAAGTCTGGATACTAGATTCAGAAACATTCATTTTTTGGAATTCAGAATTTTACTTGCTTTTGAAAGCATATATGTATTTATTTCTTATTACTGATTCTATTCAATTTATATATATATATGATAATATATATATATATATATATATATATATATATATGATATATTAATTAATAAGGTTCTTGAGCTCCGGGTTCTATTGTGCGCTAAGGCCTTCACCTTATTCCAAGGCTCTCCTTGACCTCTTATCTCGTCCATGATGGATCTCCTCCAAGTTTATACTGGGCGACCTCTTTTTTGCTTCCTTGGGGAGTCCACTTTAGGGAAATCTTTGCAATACTGGAATTATTTTTTCTGAGTATATGACCAATCCAACCCACTTTCTGGACTTAATTTGATGTTCTACCATATTTTGTTTAGTCAGGTGTAGTAGATCTTCGTTTCTGATGATATAAGGCCAGAAAATACGAACAATTTGTCGTATATATTTATTAATAAAGACCTTGCAGTTTATCTGTAAGGGTTTTTGTCACTTTACAGGTTTTACATCCGTAGAGTAGAACAAACATGACATTTGACTGGAATATGCGGATCTTTGTCTCTGCATTGTTCTGAAGCTATTTTCTTGTGGCATTTTAAAGTTATTATTATTTAAATGGAAATAAGCCACAATTAAAGGTTAAAGTAAGTTTATTGACGTTTCAATTTCCACTTCGGAATTCTCAAAATACAAACATTAGTATGATTATTTTTATATTTTGAGAACGATTTCCGAAGTGGAAATTGAAACATTAATAAACTTACTTTAACCTTTAATTGTGGTAAGGCGAATGCCGGAGAATAGAATACCAAGACAAATTCTTGAATGGCAACCAAGAGGTAGGCGGAGACCAGGAAGCCTAGAAGAAGTTGGAGAGAAGGAGTTAATAAAGAAATCAGAGAAAGAGAACTGGAGGACGATCTATGGAACGATGGAATGAGATGGAGATTGGAAATCGGAAAGAACGTTATAAACCGACATTTAATAGTCTGTGTTGATAGTAAATAGCGTGTTGTTTCTGCATTTACACTCATGGATTTGGTTTTACTAATTTGGATTTTCAAACCTAATTTATTGGCTTCAGTGGAAAATGTTTTTAATTGATCAGCCACATCTTGAAACTTTGTTCTAACAGGCAGATATCGTCGGCGTATTCCAGATCGCTTAGGTGTATTGGTTAACGTCCATTGTATTCTTCTTGTGTCGGAGTCTAGTTTGGAGAGAACTTAGTCTATTGCTATGTTAAAAAAAACGGAGGGAAATCACGCATCCCTGTCTTGACTCAGTATAAGTATGTCAAATATCGTTTGATGTTGATTTCCATTGTGTGTCACGCTCACGCTGCATTTCGTCCCAGTGTACAATGATTTTATAATGAAAATTATTTTATGCGGAATGTTACTTATTTCTAAAATTTGGCCATAAAGCCAGCATGAGATAAGCTGGTAAAGGCACGCTCGAAGTCAACAAAAATCATGTATAGAGGTGTGTTCGACCATTCGATCGATTGTTTCATTTTGACCCTCGCCATATTAATGTGGTCTATGCAGGAGGATTCTGGTCTAAAGGCTGCTTGAGCAGCTCGAAATTCAATCTTGTTTGTTTAATATTTAAAGTGTGATGGTCGTGAAGATTTTATTTATTGCGGTAAGCAAGGTTTATTCCTTTCAATTTTTGCACAGTCTTAGGTTGACTCTTTTTTGGAGTTTTTAATAATGTTTACCTCTTTTCCAGCCCTCTTGAATGTGGTTTGTTTCCCGCACCTCTCGGATTATGGGGAGCAAAAGTTCAGCAGTTAAATGCGGATTAGTTTTAAGTATTTCGGCAGCAATGTTATCGATTCCCGGAGACTTGTTATTTCTCAGAGATTTGCAATTTATATTATACCAAATCACTGACGAGGACACAAATTAGATCGTTTATTTACCAATTTAATTATTTAAATAATACATATTCGTAATGTACACAAAAAGACAAATTTAAAAATGGTGCGTCGAAATCTGTAAACAAAAACCAGAGATACAGTTAACATTCTTCTTCCCCCTTCACTGCTCCCGCGAGTTTAAAGCCGGTCGATTTTACAAATTAAATAACTTTTAAACTATTTGACTTATGTGTTTGAAGTTTTGATCATATCTTAAGCACTACAAGACCCAACATTATATGTAATATGAAGGTTTTAAATTTGTTTTTAAAAAAGTTATTAACATTTATAAAAAACCAAAATTTTTGACTTTCTTGCAACTTTGCAACTTTCCAAGCATCAAATAAGAATAGAAGCATTTTAAAATTGAAGTTTTTTTATATGAGTTATTTAGTATAAGTTTATTACTCTCAAATTTGTTGTCAAATTCTTCACTTTTGGCTGATAGACAAAAAAGCGAAAATTTACCCTTAAAATTAATAACTAATTAAGTTCAAAAAATCGACTGCAGGAAACATATAGGTTTTTGTTACAGAGGTCCATTGTACTCAAAACAATTGTCGTTTGCCTGACTGGTTCAGTGTTATAAACAGGGTACTTTTTTTGCTTATTTCCCTGGCCTAATACGGTTTAAAGTGGAATTTCTGTTAATCAATTGCTTTTACCAACAATTTTTCATCGAATCTGAATTTCTTATGTAAATTTTTGTACGTATGGAAATATACTTGATGTCAGCATTTAAACGAATTCTAATCTTTTTACAATACTTTTTTTTTCAGAATTAAATTCACACATGGCGCTTTATAAAAAATCAGCTTTGTTATCGTACGCAATATTTTCAACCACATTGTCCTACCGACGCCACATTCTCTCTCCAAATGGCACTACAGCCCAAATCGAGCCTTGGCCTTCTCCAAACTATGCCTCCAACCTTGCCGATTTTCTCCAGTTTCTCACGTCTAGCAAGTTTTGCTAGTCCACTGCCACTTCATGCTCCTACCTTTTCCCTGGTCTTCCTTTTGGTCTTGCACCCTGTATTTTACTATATAGGGCTCTTTTTGGCAATCTTTCAGTCTTCATTCTCACTACATGACCAGCCCATCGAAGTCTCAAGTTTAACGAATTCTGAGATCGGTGCCTCTTTGAACAGTTGGTAAAGTTCATGGCTGTACCTGGATCTCCATACTCTGTTTTCGTTAATAGGTTCTAATATCTTTCTTAGGACTTTTGGATGCCACATCTATTCACAGTAATTTAATTAAAGGAAATAACACCCTACACTTTACTAATAAACTGCTACATTCCTATTCAAAATAATTTAATTATAGCAAACAACACTCTACCAACAAAATGCTTTCTAACTAAAACACTTCGCACAGGCATCCGGTCGGTTGTAATAGAGAAGGGATCAACGTCGTCGCATTTAAAGCGTTCTACCATGTATATTATCGTGACTATATCTATGTATTAAGGCTCTCATTGGTGGTAAATCAGGAATAAACATCTTGCGAACTTGCCAACCAGCCGTATATATTAAACAGTTTCTCAAAGAAGTTGTAATTTATGGTGATTTGTAAGTTCACTTTAACTAACGGTAATTTTTTAGGTCTGGATTTTTTGCCGCAGCTAGTTTCATGTCATTCCAGCAATGTCGATTTAACTTCGGTGCCGAACCTTTCGAGCATCCCCCGAACGTGGCCTATTCCACTTTTAACGAATGCGGATCTCTACGACCCGAAGATAAAATCGTTTTACCTAGGCATATATTTCTTAATCAACTTAGGGAGCAGAATATAGGAGAAGATAGTTGCACTCTTTGCTACGATCAGAAGGCTTCGATTCGATTGCTTCCATGTGAACACTCGTAAGTACCTATTAGTGCTTAAAAAAATTACAAGTTGGCAATGGAAAACAATAACAACCACATTAATACTAAAATGATTCAAGTAAATGCTAAATGCGCATGTATTTATATTTTACTTGTCTTATTTTTTGACAAAACTGGCTATAGGGATTGAATGTTATACACATAAAATAATAAAATTGGCAATATAACAGTTTATTTTTCTAATCTTTTTAAAATAATTATTCTAAACATTATTTTCATGCTATACTTTTATAGAAGAAATCGTCTATGTAAGAAAACTTAAAATGTTTCAGATATTTGACTTCTTCTTATTAAAGTTCGATCTCCTATCGGAGGTTGGATATCATAACGGCTATGGTCACCTTGTTGGCTGCTGCTCTGAAAAGTTGTAGTGAACTACAGTTAAACCATTCTCTAAGGTTCCTCAGCCAAGAGATGCGTCTTCTTCCTATGCTTCTTCTTCCTTGGATCCTTCCTTGCATAATAATTCTCAGCAGCTCATATTTTTCTCCTCTGGTGACCCAAATACTCTAGTTTTCTTCTTTTTATGTGTTCATATATTTTTAACTCCTTAAACGTCGTAGTACCTCAGCATTGGTAATCCTTTGAACCCACTGAATTTTTAACATTCTTCTGTAAACACCACATTTCGAACGCTTCTATTTTTCTTATGTGTTGTTTCGTCAATGTCCAAGCTTCCATTCCGTATAGTAAGAGAAAATATGTAACGTCTTAGAGCCTTCAATCTGAGATGCAACTGAAGGTCTCTGTTGGTAAGCATTGTCTTCATTTTCACAAATGCTTGCCGTTGCAGTTTCAATTCGGACTTTGATTTCTCTGCTTTGGTCATTTTTGTCATCAACCAGGTCCCAGATATTTGTATGTCTCTACTTTTTCTATTTGGGTTTGCTCTATCATTAATCTTTCATTTTCATGTTGCGTTTTTTGAGACAATCATAAATTTAGTTTTTCTCTTATTTATTTTTAGTCCGTATCTAATGCAATAACCGTTAATTCTATTTACCAATTCTTGTAGCGATTCCAGGGTGTCTGCCATTATAACGGTGTCATCAGCGAATCTTATGTTATTTACTAGTGTTCCGTTTACAGAGATTCCATCACCCAGATCCGCTATCGCTTCCTGGAATATGGCTTCACTGTATACGTTAAATATTTTATGGTGACATAAACACAGCCCTGTCTTAACTCCTCTCTTCATATCTATATTTTTCGGACTTTTGTTCTTCTATCTTTATATTGGCCTTTTGATTCCAATACAGATTGATAATGATTCGTAAGTCTCGTCTGTCTATATCTTTGTTTCTCAGTATTTCTATTAGTTTTTCATGTCGGACCCTATCGAATGCCTTCTCGAATTCGATGAAACGGGAATAAATATCTAGGTTAAGCATCTTTGAGAGAGGATATTAAAAGCAAGCAATGCCTCTCTCGTTCCCAGTCCCTTGCGGAACCCAAACTGAGTATCATATATATATATATATATATATATATATATATATATATATATATATATATTATATATATATATATATATATATATATAAATAATATTTTGTTGTATACAACGATATCTGAATTATTATAATAAGTACATGTTATTAATAATATGTATTTTCTCGTTGAAATTAATTAATCTCACGAAAAGCAAATCCATATGATCTGAAAACAGAAGATTTGTTAACTAGATTTTCGTCTTTTAAATCATTATAACTCTTGTTATAAGAGTCCAAAATAATTCATATCGGAGGTCCAAATTAAAGGTATTATGTCAACTGATGGCTCAAATAATTTTCAAGAGTAGCGTCTCTCTTCCTAAAGTATAACTCAAAAACGGCGAAAAAACTGTGAAAACGCCGGAGAACCAACCCGACGATGCTAATCAGATTTTCGTCTTTTAAATCAACAAAACTCTGATTCTTAGTGTCCAAAATGGTTTATCTGGGATCCAAATTAAAGTTATTGATGTCAGCTATTTCACCTTCGTCTACCTGGGCTCGCTGCTGACCAAAGACAACAATGTCAGCGAAGAAATTAAAAGAAGAATAGTGCTTGCCAATAAGTGCTATTATGGCTTGAGGAAACAGATGGTCCCAAAACTACCCAGAAAAATTAAAATTACCATATATAAAACACTAATAAGGCCAGTGTTAACATACGGGTCAGAAACGTGGTCACTCACACAGAACGACCAAGAACTGCTTAGACGTTTCGAGAGAAAAATTCTAAGGAAAATATATGGAGGAGTCCAAGAACAGGGTTTGTGGCGTAGGCGCTACAACTTTGAATTATACAGAAGTTTTGGGGAACCTGACGTTGTAAAATTTATTAAATTAGCACGCCTTCGATGGATAGGACATGTAATTAGGCGAGATGAAGATGCAACGATCAGAAAAATTTTCGACCGCAGAGGACCAGTGGGAAGACTATCCAGAGGAAGACCAAAACTTAGGTATCAAGATAACATAGAGGATGATCTAAAATCCATCGGAGTTAAAGCATGGAGAAGAGTTGCCAAAGACAGGGGCGAATGGAAGATTGTTCTGAAGAAGGCTTTGGCTCATAACGAGCTGTAATGCCACTGATGGTGATGATGTCAGCTATTTACTAAAACAACTTTTACAAGAGTAGCGCATCTTGAACTAAAAATGTAACTGAATAAACGGCGAAAACCGGTTTTTCAATTTTCAACTGGTTTTTTTAATTCTGAAAAAATTCTAGAAAATAGTTTTGGTGATTGTAAATATACAGGGTGTCCCCGAAAATAGTGCGTTCCTTAAAGGTATAGGTAAAAGGCACCATTTAGAGCAAAAAAGTCTTCCGTTTGACCAAAAAACGAAAATACAGTTTGGTATGCAAAAAGAAATCTGTCAACTACGTGCAGTACGAAAATCGAAACGCAGACAGTCACAACTTAAGTAAACAGATATTTTGGACCAACACCGCGAAAATATTTTCGATTCGTGAGTACCACGATATGTTGATTATTTATGGAGAAGCGCAGTATAACAAGTAATTTAACTGTCCAAATTTATGTCGAGAATTTATGTATATTGGAATGTCAAAAAACGTTGTTGATAGAACATTTAGGGAACAACTTCCTCATAAAATTAACATTTTGTATGTGTGCGGATGAAGCATTCTTCACGAGAAACGGTGTGTATAATTTTCATAATTGCCACATAGGGAGTGACTGAACCATTATTTAATACGTAGGACAAATTTTCAACACGAAAATTTAGCATAAATTTAAGGGCTGGAATAATTAACAATCGTTTGATAGGACCATATGAATTATCCAGAACACTAAACAGATAGGCCTACTATAATTTCTTACAAAATGTTTTGTCGGTACTTCTTGAAGACGTGCCCTTGCAAACACGCCGTGAAATGTGATTTCATTACGACGGAGCCCTAGCACATTTTACCTGAGCTGTTAAAAATCCCATTGATACCACTTATCCTCGTCGTTGGATTGGTAGGAATGGACCCATTCTGTGGCCACCACGAAGTCTCGAATGCAATGTACTGGTTTTTTTATTTTTGGGGACATCTGAAATCATTAGTTTATGATAACCGAGATGAAATCGAAACAGAAGGTGAATTACGGGAACGAATTTTTGATGTTGCAGAAACTATTCGACATAATTTAGTTAACTATGGCATTACTCACAATTGGATTTGTCGTATAAATGCAAGGTGGAGTTCACTTTAAACATATATTTTAATAATTATTCCCAAGTAAGTACAAGTATCTAATTTCAATTTTAGTTCACAAGTAAACAAATTACTGATAATCCGCATAGTGTCACAAAATAAACTATACTCGTTTTCATCGTTCTTGGCGTGTGCCTGAAATAAGCTACTACGGAATTTTTAATATTCGTCTCTCTCTGATACACAGATGCGTAATTCAATTGTGCGAGTCACGTTCGTCATGGTAAAGTGCGATGAGAAGGGAATGAAGAGACCACTCACGTCTCCAGTATTGTAGCAATAACACCGATGCGTTTGGCCGATACGGTGTCGGTGATAAGTTCGGCCTCTTTACGAATACAGATAGCTGCGTGACGTGTTTTTTTAAATGTTACCTGATCTGTGCAGTTTGAAGTAGCTGATGAAATAGTTTTTATAAGTAAACAGTTTTTAATTAATTAATAGTTTGAGCTCTTACTGTGTGGAATTCCATTACATAAAATAATACTCTCGACACCTTAAAAATTCCAGTTTATTATAAATTAACTCTCTCCTCTCTTCCGATACCCATTGCAATAATGACTTGTGGCATTGTTCTTGAATGAGCTGGCTAATAGGTTTATAATTGTAGCAATTACCATTGATATTTTATGTTGTTTTAGTCGATTTTAGTCAGTCATTGTTGGAATTTGTTCCGAACAGTTTTACTTATTATTTTTTGTTGTGAATAACTAATTGTTCTATTTAATAAAAAAAATGCCGGGAAAAACGATAACAGGAGAAATGCGACAATGTGTAGTTCATTTATTGGAGTATTTTAAAAAAGAAAAAGAAAACAACGGACCTTGCTTTCGTTATCATCGGTACATGAACGAGTAGCGGCGCTTGAAAATCAGTTTCGCACAGTGACAAGAATAAAGAGTGAATACAAGACAGGGGCAGCTCTTACTACACCAGGAGAGTCACGTAATGTACAAAAAAAAAGACTAATGATGTCAGCGATACTATAAAAGGAGAGATTAGAAATGTACTGTATGGCATGAAAGCAAAAGGAGAGCACGTTACAATTAAAGTTCTAAATACACAATTAAGAAACAAGCATCTCTATGACGGTTCTGATACAAGTTTGTGGCGTCTTATGAAAAATTGTGGGTTTTCATACAAACTAGAAAATAGTAGACGAGTGCTATGTGAGAAACCATGTATTGTCTCCAAACGACTGTATTTTTTGAGGCATTATATGAGAAATTTTTAAGTCCAAGCCCACTTCAGTTCGTTTTTTAGATGAAACATGGATATTCCTAAAAGGGGCATATAAACGTACTTGGCAAGATGACTGTGTGAAAAGCATCAGAAAAGGACACGAAAATACAGGTAAACGCTTTGTTGTTTTACATGCCGGAAGTAGGCAAGGATTTGTTAAAGATGCTGGATTACTGTTTTCTACGAAATCGAAGAGTGCAGACTATCATGATTCTATGGATAAAGAGTCTTTTAAAAAGTGGGTCTCCGAAAAGCTGATACCAATGTTGGAGGAACCATCTCTAATTATTATGGATAATGCCTCATACCATAGCTCTTTAATAGAAAAGTTACCGAATGCCAGTTGGAAAAAATCGGACTTACAAGAATGGTTACGAGCGAAAAAAATAATTTTTGACGACGATTCGGGCAAGACAGAGCTATTGAGTCTTTGTCGCCAGAATAAACCACAAAATACCAGGTACGTTATAGACGAGCTACTCCAAGAACATGGGCATCAGGTTTTGAGATTGCCTCCATATCACTGTCAATATAATCCGATTGAGTTGGTCTGGGGCATTTCTAAACAATACTATGATCGTCATATTGGAGAACATGGACGTGGAGATGAAACAGTGAAAAAAGTTTGGGGCGATGCATTAGCTGAGGCAACACCTGCAGTGTGGGCGAGTTGTGTTAACCATACTGAAAAATTAATTCAGGACGACTGGGCAAAAATGGTCACATATGATGAAAATGAAAGTAGGATTATCATCGATTTGGCGGAAGATTCCAATGATGAAGACAGTTCCAGTGAAGACGCTGACTGATTAGCTAATTAATCAAGGTCAGTACGTTGTAACAGTTCAGAATTCGCTACAGTGCTTAAAACTTAAAAAATCTGTATCATTTTTTAATTAAAGTGGGTTAAATAATTAACACTTTTTTGGGTATATTTCAAAATCCTTTTAAAATGTACTTTTCGTTATATCCTGTCCTATTGTACTGCAAGCTAGAAAAATACTTCTTCGCAATTTATACGTATATTCCGTTATTAGAAATTTAATGAAAAATAATTTATAATTTTCTTTTATAACTATTATTTCGTTTGACATGCTACATTTTGCTCCGCCACTGGAGGAGGTAAACGAATCGAGCTTAGACAAGGAAAGACAGATGAAACAACTTATTGCAAGTGTTTTTACACGCACACGCCAAGAACGATGAAAACGATTATAGAATTGGTTAAACGTTGTCTGTGGTATTTAATTGCCACTGTAAACTATAAAAATCAGTTAAAGCCCTCGTCATTCAACACCTTTAAAGCTAAATAAATACATAATACTACTTCAATTAGAAGATAGTTTTTTTTATTGAATGTAATTGACATTTTAACAATTCGTCTAAAATTATGCCATATTTTAATATATTTCAGAACAAAATTGCAAATTATTTATTTTACTTTTTAGGAATTAAACTATAGTACTTACTTATGTAAAAATAATAATTTATTTAAAAACTTCAAACTTTATTCAAGAAATAATTATTTTGTAGATATTACCTACATTTCATCAGATGTCAACAACCTTGAATAGTAAATAAGGGTTGGTATGTTAAATACCCTAAGTCACAAACAAGTTTTTATTCTGAAACGCTATTACTGCGTATGTCGTTGCCAGATTATTTAATTTTCTGAAAATAAAAATTAACATAAATGTTACAATACTTGTTTTGTTCCAAATTGAATATTATATCCATACAATAAAGGAAACGCACTATTTTCGGAAACATAATGTATAATTTTTTTCGACCGATCCATATTTTCCGTTATTTTTTATAGGCGTTTAAAATTTTCAAACGCTCAAATCAATTTGAATTACGCGCCAATTCACTTTTTGGTTCAAGTAGTTTTATGGAGCATAAAAAAAACTTTACTGGGTAAAGGTCGATTCAGACACAATCAGTCACGTCTCTCGTCACCATCTCGTCACAGTGATTGCGCCGAATCGAACAATCCGTCATACAAAATATTCTTTAATACAAATATGGCGCCGGCATTCACACTCATCAGTTGACGAACAGTTTGCCAGCTGTCAGATAGTTGATAGTTCTGTGACCAAACAGGACCGGTTCGGTACCGTGACTGTGACGTGACTGATGTGTGTGAATCGACCTTAAGAAGTTTCCGCTGCGGCAATTTTGACATTCCTATCCCATCTATGCCAGTTATTATCAACGCCTCTATCGACTTGATTATGAACCTTGTTTATTTGCATCCAGTCATCCATATTAAGTTTCACATCCCCTACACACTAATCCGCTTTTTCTGTTATTGTAAAAAATTATCCTAACCTTCAATAAAAATGTATAAATTTTAATGAGTTCTAACAATATTTTTTTGCTTTTAGCGGTTTTTGTGCGTCCTGTGCCAAACAGCTAGTAGAATGTCCTATGTGCAGATCTCCGTTTCGTGAAATAGAAGAATATCCTCAGTCTTCATGACATACAAGATGTCGTTAATCATTCAAAACAATAGCTTAAAAGTCGAACATATGTTTCAAAATGGTAAAAAAGAATTATTTATAAATGAATCGTCTGTTATGAAATAACAATTTGTACAAATGTGCTGCATCATATGCAGAGAACGGGTTTGTATTTTAAAATACTTTATTTATTTTAATATTTTTATTCCTTTAACTTTATTGTTATTGTAGCTGTGGATACAAAATGTTTGTTAATATCGGTGAATATACATTGTGGCGTTTTTGTCGATGTTCTTTTTATAATTATATCTTTATTTTCTAAATATATCTTTAATAAATAACCGGTTAATAATAAAAAATATAGACAACATATAAAAGATGTAAGTTTAGCAAATTTTCTTGTTGGATAAGTAAAACATACCTGTACAGTACAAGCCGGTACTGGATTCCAGAGTTCTTCGATGGGCATCATGAATATATGGAGGATTTACAATAAGTCAATATGACTGGTCTATAACAGTCAAGCTTGAATTGTTCGAGATCTAAAAGTCAGAGGGAGCTGAATCTGAATAAGTAGAATGTTACAAAAATTCGTAACTTAATTAACCGATTTTCCCGATATATTTTGAGCCGTGTGAGAGGTTGTTTTGTCTTAGTGAAAAATATTTTTTGTCTTAAGGCAGATCTTTCCTCTCGAATTTTTTTACATTCATCTAGTGCAAAATTCTGCAGTAAATATCATAGTTCATTGTTTTACCAGTTTGCAGATAATCCAGGCGCAAATTCCTTTTGCACCACAAAAAACTGATGTTGTTCTGAAGCTATTTTCTTGTGGCATTTTAAAGTAATTACTGTTTAAATGGGAATAAACCACAATTAAAGGTTAATGTACGTTTATTGACGTTTCAATTTCCACTTCGGAAATCGTTCTCAAAATTTCTATTTCGAGAACGATTTTCGAAGTGGAAATTGAAACGTCAATAAACGTAACCTTTAATTGTGGCCTATTCCCATTTAAATACTAATTACTTAAAAAAACTGATGCTTTCAGTTTCAGTAAAAATACTTTCCTGTCCAATCTCTGAACCCTCATTTCGGAGCCCATGTGTTGATTCACACAACACCTGAACGTCTTGTTTTGATGTAGGATCATTTTGGAAGATTTAAGTTTCATCCATAGTTATTAAACGATGTATGCAATCGTTTTATCCTTTCTAAAACTGTCCAAATGTTGCTGAAAAAGCCGTAATTAAATGTATTTTTGTTACATTGTACATACAGCTTTCTCAAACCTAAAAACTGTAACAACTTATTGTGGAGCCCAAGCATCGATCCGCTACAACATCTGAGCCTCTTAGTTTTGATTTAGGATCATATTGGTAGATTAAAGTTTCATCCATTGTGATTAAATGATGCATACAATCCTTTTATCCTTTCTAAAACACACCAATGTTGCTAAAAAGTCGCAGTTAAATGTATTTTTGTTACATTGTGCATACAGCTTTCTGAAACCCAAAAACTGCTGCCAAAATATTGCTTGCACTGCCAAACGCGATTGTTAGTACTGTCCTCAAAACTATCCTGTATTTTTCAATGTATCATGATTTTGATGCACTTTTTAGACGTCCAAAATGTAAGACTTGTATCACCACGTTTAAATTAAACAAAATATCTTTCTACTATTATAATTAAATAAAAAGAGTACTCGTACACTCTCAACTTTTAAAGTTTATTAACTTGTTTAGTTATTACATGTTCCAACAATAAAAAATGTATCACTGCAGCTGTAATTACACAAATATGGCAAAACCTATCTATAACCTGGTGTATATGGTCTCATATACACAAGTATGTTAATAAGAACACATAAAATGTTATATATGACATATTCTAATTTTTTTATTCTTTACTGTTGTCTTTGTCTCTCAAAATTTTAATTTTTATCCAAGAAGGTCTCAATAAGAAACTAAACTCAAACCAGGTAGCCCACTGCTGACAGTTGTCAATTTCTTCCCCATCGACGGTTTCATCATTGAATATTAAACGAATTAATCATATTGTTGGTTAGCATTTAGTAATCACAACTATTAAATCCTTTGACTGGCGAATAATGATGAGTAGATATCTAAGAAGAAACATAACATGAGATAAGAGTAAAGTTCTAAGGGCGTCATGTAGGAATTTATGTGCCCGTCAATTTATCATGTTTTTAGTCATTGATATGGTAAACATTTGTATTGTTTATGCACTGAGCATATGACGTGATTTATGTGTTAGTGGCGGTTTTTGAGGTACCTGGACTTTCATCATTATTGATACTCTTTGTTAGAAGTGTTGATAGACGTCATGTGTTGGATGACAGATACAACTAAGAGCAACTAACGCTACCTATCGAAGGCTAGAGTAACGTCAAATCTCACTAAGAAATTTCAACTGTATTAACAGAGTAAAAGTATAACTATAAATTGAATAGTCATAAAAAAGTATTGGTTTGCCGTCAGCATTCCGCAATATCTTTTTATTTTATTAATATTACTTTATTCCTTTATAGTTCAATTCTACATCTATTTCATTGAAAATTGAAAAATTATTACTTTGAACGGACTGGACGACGAAACAACAATTAAAAAAGTTATTGTACAATTTGAGGTTTAATATCAAAAAATATTTGAAAAAAAAAACTATATTTTTTACAAACTAAGTTTTGAATTAATTACTCTCCGACAACTAAAAAGATAAAAGGAAGGGGGAAAAGGGGGGTTTGAGTATTTATTGCAACTGATTGCACTGAAAACTAGAATGACCCTTCTGCTTTAACTGGAATTGACCCTCGTATTTTGTGGTACTATACATCTAAGTTTAGTAATAGCATTTAGTGTTTGTGTTCTGTCTTACTGTGATATTGAGTTTTAGAAAATAAGTAGTTTCTTTATACATTGTGTATTTTTAGAAAAATTTTGCATTTAGAATGTTTAGTCATTGTTTTATTAGGAAATATTAGAATATTTTATTCGGTTTATCCGAATCATCATGAAGGTAAATTTTCGTTATTTACAGTGAGTTTGTTTCTGTATCAGTTCAACAATTTTAGAAATATTTTAAATATTTTGACTTTTATACATCATATTTTAAGAAAAATAAAATGTATAGAAGTAATTTGGTACTCAAAAAACAATCGATTACATTAAATTTCATTGACAAAAACAATACGCCAATATTGACGGGGTTGCCACGTTTAATTTTTATTAATATCTATTACTCAAAGTTTTGTGTTATTAATAAAGTTAAAATACTGTGAATAAGCAACTATTTATTGTATTTATAAAAATAAAATGCCCGAAACAACTCGGAACAGATAAATTTGTAGGAAAGAATTGTTAATAATAAAAAACGTTACAATATATCAATTCATAATTCTCTACATTCTCTGCTATCCAGACAATATGGAAACTCTTGCGTAAAAATGTCAACGTCAAAATTGGATGACGTACTGACCTTTGACTGATATTTAAAGTGATTTTTTGAGTACTAAACGTAAAATATTTTAGCTATAAATTTTATTTTATTGAATATATAAGGTATATAAATAGAAATGTAACGTAAAAATATCATTTATGACGTGCAATTCCAAAATATTGTGGGAATATTGGCAAAACTACAGGAACTGCTGGTAAAAACTTTGAATCTGCTCAAATTCAAACTGGTACACCAACAAACCTATTAAATATCTGCATTTGCAGTCTCGATTTAAATGAACCTATGTATTTAGTAGTCATTATAGAATTCCAGTACTACTTGCATAGTTACGTAGCTTCCTTTTTACAATATGTGAGATATGAAGGGCACTTTAGAGATCGTTAGTTATAAACTCAAGACACTCAAGATATTAATACTACTAATTTTCAGTTGTTTCAACGATTGTTTCAGTTTTGACTTGCCAATTAAAGACTTTACCGCGTTTTAAATGTCCTAATTCTGTAGATCTTTATTGTTAATTCCTGGTATACAGCTTTCATGAGGGTTAATGGTATATTATATAGTTGAAAAATAGTAGAGAAATAAGATTTTAAAAGCCTAAAGTTTAGCCCAAATCATTCTTTATTTTTATTAATTTCTTTTAATTATATTTTTAATCAAATGGTCCTTATAAAATATCAAATATTTTATAGATAAAAGATTGTGACAAAAACGCTACATTATAAAGTCACCCTAAAAATAAATCGAATATGTACATAATACTGATAATGGTGTATGGCTTGTATATTTTAAGTATGCGAATGAATGGATGACGGTAAAGAAATATAGCCTCAGATGTATATTTTCTTCATATCAAGTTAAAAAATTGTTTTTTCTTTAAATACTATTATAGATATAAATATATTTTAATGTTATGACTATTTTTTGTTTTATTTGTACATTCCCACAAATAATACCTATCTCAGAGCAAAACTGTATTATTTTTTTTGCTCACTGGGATTGAAATTTTCCGCTCTATTCAGTGGCCTTTTTGTCAGCACTTGTCAGCAAAACAGTATCTTATGCATTTCAAATGTATTAGATCATATCAACAAAAAGTGTTGTGTCTTACATAATGCAACTCAAGCGAGGTGTTAAGTCCACAATCTTTAAAAATTTGGCAACTCTGTGCTTGTTAAAGTGTTCAGTTCGCTGTTTGCAGTGTATTAAAGCTCATGTTGGAAGATAGAGCCCACAAAATTCTTCAGATTGCGCTGAACAGTAAAGAACGTGAATAATGGTTCCTCATTAATGGAAAATATTTCTAGTTAACGTAAGTATTTCGAATGGTAAATTATAAGATTAACTAAATTTTAAAGACAAATGTTTTAAATTTACAGTGACGATCTTTAACATTCGTACGCCATTTAATACTAAAGTTATACCCAATGAATATAAAATAAAAAAAAGATTAATTATTTTGTTCTTGATATATAAGATACGCCGTCACTTAAAAACAAATGAGATTATTGTTTTCTTCTTCTTAACGTGCCCTATCAAGTCCCCTTGACGTTGGCGATTAACATGGCGAAACTGTCTCTGTCTCGAGCTATTCTAAAGAGTTCCTCAGCTTTCCTTATTCCTGTCCACTCCCTGATATTCTTCAACCAAGAGGCCTGCTTTCTACCAATTCCTCTGCGTCCTTCGATTTTACCCATCATAATAAGTTGAAGAATATTATATCGGTCTCCCCTTACTACGTGTCCAAAATAGGCCATCTGTCTACATTGGATGTTATCAAGCAGCTCGCGAGCAGCATTTGCTCTC